TTCCTGCCCTGAGTTCCTACCCTAACTTCCTTCAGGGATGAACTGTGACCTGGGAGATGTAAGATAAAATAAACCCTTTCCTCCCCAAGTTGATTTTAGTCAGTGTTTATATCACATCAATAGAAAGTAACTAGGACAGAAACTGGTATCAGTGAGTGGGATTATTGCTTGGGAGTTGTAAACTGAAACAAACCCTTTCTCCCCAAGTTGCTTTTGGTCATGGTGTTTAGCACAGCAATAGAGAAGCAAATTAAGACAAGGCATATAGTGTTTTGCCTGCATGCATGTAGTGTAACCACATGTGCAATACCCATGGAGGCCAAAGAGGGCATCAAATCTCTGAAACTCAACTTTACAGAAGTTTGTTAACTGCCATGTGAGTGTTGGCAACTGAACCCAGGTCCTCTGTAAAATCAGCCAGTACTCTTAACTGCTGAGACATCTCTCCAGCTTGTCAGGTGAATGATTTTTACCACATGGTTGGTTTTGCCTCAATCAGGAATCAACCCCCTTTCAGTAGAGTGCTCAAGGGGTATGGTAACCCTGTGCAGTGCAATCATGACATCAGATGTCACTCAAAACAGTCACCACACAGCATGCTAAGGTCTGTACTCCTAAGAGCAGATGCCTCACCAGGACCCTGTAATGGTTAATTTTATGTGTCCACATGAAGGCTTGATCCCAGCTACTGATGCTAATGGGCAGTGGTAGAAACTTCAGCATCCAGTTGGAGGAATTTAGGTCACTGGGAACATGCCTTTGAAGGGCATGTTGGTAGCCCTTTCCTCTTGTTCTCTTTGCCTCCTGGCAACCATGAAGTGAGCAGCTTTGCTTTAACATGCTTCTCCTGACATAATGTTCTATTTCACCACAAGGAACCACAGACTAAAACTTCTGAAACTGAGCTAAAATAAATCTTTTCTCCTCAAAAATTGATTACCTCAGATATTTTTTCACAGCAATGGAAAGCTGACCTATACAATGGCCAAACATTATTGTGGTTATTTCTGTGAGAGAGTTTGGGGTGAAATTAATATTTAAATCTATAGACTCTGTGTAAAGCACATTGCCCTCCACAGTGTGGGTGATTGTTATCTTATTAATTCAAGCCCTGCTAGAAAAGACTCCTGGTTCTCCTCTGAACAAGAAGCAACTGTGCCAGCAGGAGGCCTTAAACTCGAACTACAACGCTGTTCTTCCTGTTCTCCAGTCTGCAGATTTAGACTTGCTAACCACAATGACTGTGAGAAAATCCTTAAAAAAACCCTTGAGCTGAGTGCATGCCTGTAATCCCAGGTACTTGGGAAGCTGAAGCAGGACTATTGTGAGTTCAAGGCCAGCCTCCCAAGGATCTTTGAATAGCAATATCCCAATTCAAAATAAAAAAGAAATGAATGAAAAAAGAAAACCAGGCTGGGTATGGTGGCACATGCCTTTAATCCCATCACTTGGGAGGTAGAGGCAGGCAGATCTCTGTGAGATTGAGGCCAGCCTGGTCTACATAACAAATTCCAGGCTGGCTGGGGCTACAGGGAGAACCTGTCTCAAAAAACCAAAACCAAAAACAAACCAAAAAAAACCTCCAAAAGACAAAAGACCACACAACCAGAAACAGCTATACTTAAACAAATTAAATATGTTTTAATGATAATAAAATAAATATCCTTCTTTTTTAATGTAATATTTTTTCTTTAAAAAATTTTTTTGATTTTAACTTTTACAAAAACTTTACTGAGAATTTCATACATTCCCACTCCCTCCCTTCCAACAACTCCCATATCTCCCCATCACTTTTTTCTTTTTCTTTTCTTTTTCTTTTCTTCTTTCATTTATTTATTTATTTTTATAGGGCTTTTGGGTACTCTAACATTACCCCCTCTGAAGAGGTAACACTAAAATCTTTTAAGGATTAGATACAAGCTCCCAAATACTTTTTGACATTTTTGGCCTTTGGAACAGAGTATGTTGCTAACAGTCCCAAGGACATTTAATGTCATATTTTTATTAATTTTTTGAGAATTTCAATGATTTTCATCCCCAGCTCCTCCTCCTAACCCCTCCCAGATCCACCCCTACCTTCTCACGCCTTCCCATCCTAATTCTTCTATTTTCTTCTTTTATTTATTTCACTGTATTTGGTTGTTTTGGCAGGGAGTATGAGACTGGGTTTCCCTGTAGCCCCAGCTGGCCTGGAACTCATTATGTGCACCATGCTGGCATCAATCTCACAGATATTCTCTCTCTCTCTCTCTCTCTCTCTCTCTCTCTCTCTCTCTCTTTCTCTCTCTCCCCCCCAAGTCCAGTATGTGCTGCCTATATACTCATGGGTGTAGGTATCCCCTGAAACATGGCTGACCTACTAGGATCACACCCTTAAGGAAAACTGACTATCCCTCCCCCAGAAGACATCAACCCAACCATATACATATCCTATTGGTTCTGTTTTTCTGGAGAACTCTAACTAATACAATCTGTCAGATGAATCTACTACATTTGCCCATGCACACAAAAATCCCAGTTCTCAAAGCAAACACCCAGGATGCCCTGTGGAGCAAACACATCTGAAAAGTAGACTAAATACCCTACCTTGGCCCTTTCTAAAAGATGAGAGGACACCATAACACTCTAGCTGACTGACAGAAAATGTATGGGCTTATAAGTGTTGCAGACTTTGAAAACAGCTGATGTGTAGTATCTGTTTCCAGCAATCGTGAGGCAATTCTTTATTGAAACTCCATCAAGTATCAGCCTATGGTATACCTTAATACCATTTGAGGACACCCCTTGTAGCCATGGTGGCCACTGGTGCTCATGTAATAACTTCATGGGGCTTTGGTTGATACTAGTTCCCAAATCACAATGTTCCCCAGAGACTCCTATAGATTTAAGGAAGGAACTCTGTGTTCTCCAGGGAGTTACAACACCTATGATTGAACACAAATAAGTCTGCTTTGCCCAACCATTGGTCACATGCTGACCTGTTAGTTTGGAAAAGCCATTCTATTACTATCACAGTTTACTCAACTGTATGGGCAGTTATTATGCCTGCCCTACCCACATCATAGGGTGTTACAAGAGCATATGTGAAAATTCTTTGTAGCCTGGGAAGTAGTCCACAACTGTGAAGTATGACTGAGTGATCCCCTGAAAGATTTCCATGTTTGAGGTATTTTAGACAAAGCACATGAGTCACAGCATCAGAGATAGTTTTATTGGTCCCTGGATATGTCTCACACTTTCGTGTCTGTGGTCAATAAAGGACTTATGGTGTTACCTCGTCAATTGTAGCTGGCTGGTTGATATATTCTAAGGAGTTTTATAACCTGCATATGAAGGGTTTGATATTGGCTCCAATGAGAATCAGCAATTTAACCCTACATAATCCAATATAAGAAAATATCATAAATCCCATTCACTCTCTGGCACTGACCTTCTTGAGGGTAGAAATGGTGTCTTCTTCGACTGTTATTCCTGGTATATAGCTCAGTGCTTTGCCCTTGGTGGGCACTAAATAAACCACTATTGGACATTATTCAAACGCCCAGTCTATTATTCTTTCTCCACATGTAAACTAAACTAGTGGGATGGTTGGCTCAGTAGGTAAAGACACTTGCCAAAGCTTGTTGACCTGAGTTTGATCCTTGGAACCCACATGGTAGAAGGAAAGAACAGACGCATGCAAAATATCCTCTGACCACATGTGTGCTGTGGCATGTGCATGTGTGTACACATATGACCACACGCGCGCGCGCACACACACACACACACACACTGGTAAAGAAATCCATAAATAAATCCATAGATTCTGTGTTCAAGGTATGAAAAATAGTGTAGGTTTATTGCTCCTGATGTTTCAACTTGCTCATGGTAAAGGACAATAAGGCTTACATATCCATCTGGTCTCTTCCAATGAATGCAAAGGACAAAAGTACATAATCAGATCAGATCCCATTCCCTTTTACTATGGGAAAACACTGGCAAGGTCTTTCCAAGGTATTGGAAAGCATTGATCCATTTGTCCAAAGTGTTTCCGCCTGCCAGTGAGCGTGTGAGTGCATACCATGCCCAACCGCACATGGTACAGACTGTGAACTAGTACACTGGGCCCCAAACCCATGTCTAAGAACAGTGTCAGAAGAGGGCAAGAAGAGCTGGCAAGCTTTTCCCCAGAAGTTACCAGAGCACAGCAACAGCGTCTGCCCCAAACAGCCATCTCTTGTATACACCACCCTCCCTCAACCAGGAACATTCCTGAACTGTAACTTGTAACCTGGGCAACAACACAGCAGGCCACAACCACAACACAACAGGACTGGAACCACAGGAGCGTCCTACTGAGCAGTCAGCAGCACATTTAAAGAGAGTGTTAATGAGGGGCTAGAGCAATGGCTTTGGCAAAGATCCCAAGTTTGGTTCCCAGCATCCACAACTGTCTGTAACTTCAGCTCTAGGGGATCCAATGCTTTCTGGCTTCTGTCTGAATTCACAGGCACATACCTATACGAGGGCAAATGTACATAAGTGTAATTAAAATCAATTGTTTTCAGAAACAGAGTGTTAATGACAGCAGCACACACTAAAACAATGACACTCAAGAGACCCCTATTTCCAAACACCCTTCACTGAAAATTATTCAGCCCAATCTGGTGAACAATGTAGGAAGGAGCTCTGCTTCCACTTGCATTTCTCCCTCCTTCCCTTTTACGAACTTGTTCATGTTTTACCAAAAGATAAAATTTAATCTATAAGAAACTCAGTGATCCCTACTGGAAAACAAAGCTAGTCAGTGGTGTCCAAAGGCAGTACTAAAGATTGATTTCTTTCCTTCTATTTGTTTTCTGGCATCTGCGGCCAGAACTGCCCAGGGACTAGTAAAACTGTCACAAACAGAAGAATAATGATACCTTGGAACTTCCTTTACCTGGGAAGGACGCCACCCATAGCATTCTTTTCCGGGTAGCTGGTGTCCCTGTCAGCAGGATGAGTTTAATTGCCACCGCCAAGGGCTCTACTAGGACTTTGTTGAAGATATTTTGGTAAGGAATCTGAAGGTTATTCGATGATAGAGAAAGCTTTGCGAATATAAATTTACATCATCTTTTCTTTCTGTCCCTTGTACCTCTCTTCTCAGCACAGCCAAACTTTTCCAAAGGTTCACTCCACAATTCCTCCCCCATCAATTATTTAACCTTCCTCCCTCTGGGGCTTTTGCTCCTATGTTTGGTCATTGGTTGCTTCCTTGACATGTGCTCCTCTTCTGTCCACAACTAATTTGTGTATTTTCTTGACTCTCATCTATCTGACACAGGTCAGGTGCTTTGAAGGGATCTGATTCTGTCTTGTACTCTTATCTAAACCCTAAACCCAAGTCTTAGGTGATCATAACATCACATTCCCTAGTTACAGTTATTAATTATTAATAATCAAGAAGGGATGGACACATGATTTAATTGGAGCCAGTATGACAAGAGGAAAGATTTGCTGGCTCTTTGGGGAAAAGATACAATTTCATTTCTTTCTGAGAATTGTTGGTGATTATATATTTTCCCCTCCAATTTAAATGAGGAAGTCATTAGTCTCTATCTTAGGTGGTAAGTTGAGGAAGGGAGAGCCTTTGTGTGCATCTGACACTTAAGAAAGCTGAATGGGGGCACAGAAAGTTTCCAGGTACCTGAAGATATTGTTGAACCTCTGAGCCAAATTATGCTTAAAAGTTATCCTCCCTCTGAGCTTACTGTTGGCTGAGTTAAGAAATAATTTTTTTAAAAATAATTAATTTATTTGCTTATTTATTTTGTATGTGTGTATGTATACATGAGTACAGACCCAAGTCATGGCCTGTGTGTAGAGGTCAGAGGACAACGCTCAGGAGTTGGTTCTGTCCTGGCATCTTATGTGATCTAGGGACCAAACTCAGGTCATTAGGTCTGTGCATGAGCATCTCTACCCACTGAGCAATCTCTCTAGATCAAGAAATCTTCTGTTGTGTTTAAGTCAGATTGCGACAAGTTTTTAGTTACTTGCAGGAAAGCAAATCTTTACATACCTGTTTCAGAATTGTTCTTGCTTACTTAACGAGAAACCTCAAGCTACCTGAATGCAATAGTCTTTTTTCCAATCTCTTTTCTTCCCAACAGCATTTGACAACACACATTTTATGCCTTCAGACAATCTCTTAGGTTGGCTTCTGTTATTTCATACACTGAGGTTTTTCATTCCCTGTAGTTTCCCTTATTCAATCTCTTTTACCAAGCCTTTTCCCTCCAGCTGATCCCTAAATGTTGGACTTCTTCAGGGACTGGTCACAAACACACTTTGATAATGCCTTCTACTTCCTTGTCTTTAAATCCTTTTATATAGCAATGACTCTCAAATTCATAGTCTCCAATTCAGTCTCATTTTTGAGCTGCAGTTGCCATAGTAACATCTTCACTTGGACATCTTATTGTAACTGAAAACCTCCTGTTCTCCACTGTATCATCCATCTCTAGCATCATGCCTGATACAAAGTAAGCTGTTCATGAAAATTTTTGAATAAACCAATGAAGGCTAGATCAATAAGTGAGTAGATCAGACAACAGTGTTGTTTAGTTGCAAATAACATTACCCTAAAGCAAATTTAGTAGAAGACAATGGGATTGTCTCAGCTGAGCACCAGGATAGGAATGGTGGATTTAGGATTGTCTTCTTATTCCTTCTTCATGAACAGCTACTTCATCTTCCTGTCTGGATACTTTTTTGTCGTTATTGTTCTAGAGATTTTAGATCTGGGGGCTGGTAACTCTTAAAGATCCAAAGAAGCTTGAAGGCCAGGTGGTCTTTCTGTTTCAACTGGTCCCCCTTGTGCTATTGTAGCAAACAATAAACGTAGAAATATATAAAAGACAATAAACATAGACAATATATAAATGACCCTGGCAGCATTCCAGTAAAAGTATTTGAGGCATAGGTGGTTGATCCTTGTTCTTGACCACCAACAGATAGAAGAGCTACATGTCAGCTTAGCTGTTTGGTTCTGTGATATCAGGGTTTAGATCATTATCCCATCTTTGGTGAGACTCTGCAAGGTCATGTAGTATGGCTACTCTTGGGGTACCCACCTATATTGCAGGACGTTTGAAAATGGAGGGCAATTCCAAGGACAAAAATATACTGCAAAATTCCAATGTCAGAAGTTTAATTCTTGATCTGGCATAAGTCTGCTCTGTCTCCAGCATTTCAGAGTAGGCATCGCTCTCCCGGGGCTTGTGTACTCTTCCGTTCTCTTATCTTTTGTACCTAGCCTTACCCCTTAATTCCCGTCAATTCCACTTCTAAAATGAACTGTCAACACGTCTATTCTCCCTCCCTCCCTCTCTCTCTCTCTCTCTCTCTCTCTCTCTCTCTCATTCTCTTAGTCCAATCAGCATCTTTCACCTGGTCTTCTACAAGGGCCCCAACTAATTTCTTCTCTCTTGCTTACCTCTAATCCAATCAATAGCCAGAGAACACTTTTAAAAATACAAATATGGGGGCTGGAGAGATGGCTTGGCACTTAGGAGCACTGATTGCTCTTGCAGAGGACCTGAGTTCGGTTCTCAGAATCCACATGGTGGCTAACAACCACCTCTTCTGGTCTCTTCAGGCGTTGCACCCACAGCACTCATGCACAAAAATAAAAATAAATACAAATTTAAAAATACAAGTATGTGTTAGGGTTCAGATCTACAGCAATCCCCAATTCCACAGGGCCTCACGGTTTTGCAGGCCCCCTGAGAATGCAACAACTGAGATAATGAGCACCCTGATCATCAGCAAGACAAGATAAACAGACTCTCTACACCTTTTGACCCCAGACCCCCAATTACTGCAAGGATCCACTTCAGCACAGCATGCTTCCCCTTTGATGATCTTAAAGGATAAACAGGCTCGTTATACCTTTTGACCCAAGACCTACTGCAAAGAGCCATTTCATCACAACCTGCTTTCCCTTTGATAATCTTAAAAAAAAAAAAAAACAGGCCTCTGCACCCCAGACTCACAGATGTAGGAACTGTTTCAATTCAGGCTATCCCCTGATAAGTTCACAATATATAGACCCTTATCCCATAACCCAGATCTGGCTGATGGAAGGGAGCAGTTTGACGGAGGTTCGTCTCTCCTGATAAGCCCTGGGTTTTCTCTCTCTCTCTCTCTCTCTCTCTCTCTCTCTCTCTCTCCTTTCCCTCCCTTCTCTTTTTCTCCATCCCTTCCTTTTTGGATTTTTTACATGATACCATGCCCAGAAACAGGCGTGAATGAAGACAAATATGGGACCTGAAAGTGTCATCACGAACCTACAATTAGGAGGTGTGGTAAAGAACTAATTGGTTAATATTTGCAAAATGCCTGGACATTCTTGAATAAAAGGCCCCATATAAGTTCAAAGTACTTGTAATTATTATGATTATTGCTATAATTTATGAGATTTAGCTGTACATCTTATAATAAGATGAGGTCAACACTTTTCAAAAGAGGAAGCAGGACAGGGCTATATAAATCGATGTGTGTTCACTAGCTCTAAGGAGAGGAGCTAACTGAAGACAGGTGAGTGTGAAACAGATATGGAACTTGTGTGAGCTTACTTAGAATGAAAAATCCAGTGTATGATTGATAATGGTTGTATCTCTGCTGATGAGTGAACAAGGAGAACTGGATCAAATGAAACTTAAGAACCTTGCAAAAGAAAAAACATTTAAAATATGTAGATGATAGGATAATTTTCTTATTTATTACAATCATTAAACAAATTCATATTTCTTTTAATGCATATAGAGTTTCTTTTGAATATGTGCGCATTCCCCAATCCGAGAAAGGGAGAACAGAAATGTGTGTCATTTAATAGTAACAGTAATAGTGAGACTGTATAGAAAGCCAGGAAAATGTTGGGCCCTGAGTAGGGAAAGAAGTCCCTCACTTCAGAGCCTGGTTGAGGCATCTTACCAGCAGAGAAGCAAGAATTCCAGCACAATTAACAACTGTCTAAGGCCTTTCTTCCTTTCCTGCTGTAAACCTATGAATTTCTAGGAATCTTACCAGAAGCCCCATTTGCAGGGAAAATTTGTTAAACCCTTCATGCAACAATTTAGGCTTCTGGTTTTCCTCATCAGATTACATCTCTAAGAGTCACATTATAATCTTACTTATCAGAAGAAAGAGAAAAGAGGGGTTCTTAGCAAACTTTTGAGATGTAACCCAAGAGTTACCAAAATGGTATAGATGGCTAACGATAAGACACTTCATTGCAGCTCTCCCCTGTGGAGCCCATGCCCACTCTTAGGTATGCCTCACTCTTCTGAGTACCTCTTTCTGAGTACCTCTCTGTTTCATACCTTGGGCTTAAAACCTACATGAAAACATCTTTATTAAAATCTGCAACTCTGCTTTATACTGGCTATTCCTGAAATTCTTTTCTGCATCAAAATCATGAATCCTGGGTTTGCTTGAGTTGAGGACCCTAAAAGATTAAAGGAATTCCTCAAGCTACTAAGGGTAGTGGGAAGGGTCTCCCTGTCTCCTCTTTGCTAATAATCAACTAGAATATTTTTTTGGTGTCTTTCAAAAACCAAAGGACTAAAGTGTTTGTACTTTTCTATGTGGTAAATCTCCTTTCTGCTTTCAAGCTCAATCATGTAACATCAGACCAAACATCACACGAGGTGTATTGATAGCAGTCCTGTTTTTTCTGGAAGCTATGAAATAACTAAGGCAACATGTCTAACACTTTAAGTCTTGTCTATCAGAGCTAAAAGTCAGATATGCTTTAAGAGTCTACTGATGGAACAGAGAGGCTTAATTATGTTTGATATGGTATTTGTTCAGAAGGGGATGTTCCTGAGCTAGCGTAAGAAGAGCTGTCTTCCTGAAGTTCTTCACTCTAGGAAACCCAAAAGGACAAAGAAAAAGCAGGAGCATGGAGGTGCACTGATAGAAGACCCCTTTTAGGCATAGTCTCCCCAAGCAAGGGAGTATTTGTGGATTTGCCAACAAGGAGGAAGGAGGAAAGAGGCTTGCTCAGACCTTTTAAGTCTTCTTGGGCTGGTGTTTACCAACTCACGATCCAAACTTAGCAAGTGCGTATGGTCATAGGCCATGTGAAAATGCAGTCTGCAAAAGGGATGGTTTAAATGAGCTGTGTTGGCCTACATTTGTAATCCAAGAATTGGGGAGAGTAAGGCAGGAGGATCATAAGTTCCTTCTCAGCATGACTCTGTCTCACAAAACCAAACTGAACATGGTAGTTCACATCTAAAATCTCTATACTTGGAAGGCAGAGGAAAGAGAATTCCAATTCAAGACCAGACTGGGGTATGTAGAAAGTTCCAGGCCAGCTTGGGCTATGAAGCTCTGTCTTAAAATGCAAGCAAGGATATGTAAGCAAGCCAAGATCTGTAATGTTGTGGCCTCATATTGTGCTCTAAAAAGTTAGATGCTTTTTTTTCCCTGGGACATGCGATCTTGGTGGCAGAAGAATTTTACGTTTATGACTGTCATTACTATTGCCATTTAAAAAAGACTATTGGTACAAAGCAGTCTGCAAGGCAACAGCCTGGGGCATGGCTGTGTGTGTGTAAGGAGACCAGAACAGTAAAAGGCATGCTGCTGGAACAACCCATCAGCCCACAGGGAGCAGGATCACAGAGAGATGGGTTAGCAACAAAGCAAGGGTAACAACACAGCTTGGCCCACAAGACCATGTCTGATGTGGCTTCTTAGAGTAATTCTCAGTTCTTCCAGGACCAGTTGGGCACATGAGAAGGTGGGGTTATCCTCAGATATCAAAGTGTTAATGCAGCACATTTCCAGACTGTTTAGAGGGCCCCAAGGACCTGGTTACCCAAGGTTAAGGTAAAGCTCTAGGACATTCATAGAAAAGAATTGGGACTTCTCTAGTGAGGGAACTGTAAATACCAAAAACCTTTATTTCTATCCCTTCCCACCCCATGATAAATTGTTGAATGCTGAGGAAGAAATAGTCTTTATTCCTTACAAATCTATGCAGTGCTTTGGGGATTACAAAATGCTCAGTAGATAGAGAAGGCAGGTAAAGGAAGCCATCTGGATTGAGGCCACCAGGACCTTGAACTAATCTCTGAGGGATGCTCAGGTTATCTGCTTTAAAAGTGGCCTGTTGCTGCAACGTGACACTCGCTTGCTGTCTGCTACTGTTTTGCTTTTTAGAATGGGAAAAACAATGTCACTGTAGATATTGTGCCTGACATTTAGATACCATGTTTGTCTTGGGTTAACATTTTCACAATGGATTCAAGTATGGGGAGTGGAAGGATACTAACAAATGAGTCACAGATGACCAGTGGACACTCCTTGAGCACACCCAGGGGATGCATCAACAACTTTTAAATGTATAGTACTTTCTGGCACCTGTACAATTGGGCCATGGAATTTGACTCTTCCAGTATACTGTTTATGAGTGGATTACCTTGTCTGTCTATAATAAGTCCATTGTCACTTTTTGTTCTTCCCTGACATAACTGAAAATAATTACTTTGAAGATTGGACATGAAGGGCAACCAGAAAGTAGTTTAGTGTTGCTAAGTATCTGGTGCATGCATTTACATAGACTCGGTCAAGTGCTTGCTCAACATAGATGCTTATCCCCCTGCTTGGAAAATGAGGTAACTCTCATGTTGCAATGAAAGTTAAGTGTTTCCATTTGGGTTTCCAAGAGGAAGCATCTGTCTTTCCTGGAAAAGTATCAAGAAGACTGAAATATCTAGGGTTAGCATTTGAATGCGAGGACCCTTTCATAAAGCCAGTGAGCCTGGGAACATATTTTTTTTGTATCTAAGAAGCTCTTTCTCCAGTTCTTTTTGGGAACTGATTGTCCTTATTCAGTCTTCAGGGATCAGAGATGCTGAGTACACTATTATGTTAACGGTTAAATCTGAAAGTTTCTGCCGGTGCAAATAACATTCCAAATTTCTGTACATTTTTGGTCACCGAACATGACATTTTCTGCTCAACTAAGTGAAACTTGACAGACCGGTATTGTAGGAAAGATAAGTACAAAGTATGGATTGCTTTCAGGACTACATGCCATCTCAGTTCATGAAGATGGAATTCAAGAGACTTCCTTAATGTCTCTCCATCTTGGGACATCTCATCCTAAGTGTCAGGAGAAGCCCATCTATACTAATACACTTAAAAGAGGGATTGGGGATGTAACTTAAGAGCATCTACAAGGACCTGGGTTCCCAGTACCAAATAAATGGCTAAGTGAAAGTGGGGAGCACCATGTGGTCACTCACTGGTCCTGGTCACCTGTTCTCTAGACCAGTAAACACCTCAAGAGTCTAGTTCTGGGGTATTGCCATGACCTACTTACCAAGGGACTTGTCCTTCTACCCTCCCTGAGTTCTGGCCCAGGAGTGCTATGCTATGAAGAAAAAATGGAGAACATGGTTCAAGGTGATCCAGTGGTTCTGGGATTCCCCAGTACGGAGAGCAGAGCAGTGCAGAGAGTCTTCCACCTCCTTCCTTCATCCAAAGGGAAGAATCAGTGTATAAGGACAGAGTGCCCTTTGCTCCAACCTAAAGAGAAAAGAGCCAAACTCAGGGAAGTCATCAATACAAAATTCTACTTTTCATATCACATTTGAATAATGTAAAACACATCAAAAAATCCTTTTCAGCATCCTGAGTCGAGCCACTATATTTCTCAGTGCTGAGAAGCAAAGTATTTTGGCTTTTTATTTGATATATTTTTGTTTTTTTTGAGACAGAGTCTTGCTGTTTATCTCAAGCAGGCCTTGAACTTGCAGTAACCCTCCGGTCTCAGGAATGCTGAGATGCACCCGCCCCACACACACACCTAGCCCATCTTGGCTTTATAAATAATTAATACCCAGCATCTCTGTGTTTCTTCTCCTCTCCTCTCTTTTCTTCTCTTTGTTTTAAACAGGATCTCACTATGTAGTCCAGGTTGGTGTTGAATTCAAGATCCTCCTGCCTCTGACTTATGAGGGCTGAGATTGCAGATTTTGCACCAAATATCCAGTATCTTGAAACTATTCTGAGTTCCTGTGAGCTAAGTCAAAGTACAGAGGGAGCACTTGCCCAATTTCTGCTTTTACGCTAGGATTCAAATCCTTTACTTTCTTATTTTGGATGTGGGAAACTTGTTCCATTCACACTCCCCAACAGAACCAGTGCATGTTGTTATTATGATGATTGGCATTTTCACATCTTTAAGCTAATTTTGATTTTAAAAGCATTTCAGGTACCATAGAACCATACTCAACATGTCTGCACTGTGGTGGCTTCTGGGCCTTCTGGCCTTGACTGGTGAGTGTGTTTCATTTTTTCCAAATAACTTGGAAATAGGAAAAGCAGCATAGAAAGCTAATGGTGTGCTCACATTTATATAACTGAAGTGGAAGCATTGTTTTTCACCTCAGAGGTCTGATAAATCCTGGAGTTAGCAATAACTCCAAAGGCAAGAGCCTTTCACTGGCAAGCAGCCTTTTCCCAAGCGTCCCATAAAAGGATGGGGTTTCCCACAGCTCACAAGAGGGCTTGCAAAAGCACTGATTGAAACCCGACTTTAAATACTCACCACTGATAACTGTTCATTGCCACTATAAAAACTTGCACCATCTTTTGGTTATATTACACATTGCTGGGACAAAAGCAACTTAAGGAAGGAAGGGTTTATTTTGGCTTTCAGTTCCAGAGTACAGGCTGGTCACATTGTATCCAGAAAGCAGGTCAGGAAGCAGAGGGAGATAAATACTGATGCTCAGCTCACTTTCTTCTTTTTACTCGGTCTAGGACCCAGTCCATGGAATGATGCCACCACATTTCAGGTGGCATCACCTTAGTTCACCTAGTCTAGATAATCTCGCACAGACAGATGCAAAGATTTGTTGCATGGTAATTATAAATCCCATAAGGTTCACAGTCAAGATTCACCATCACACAGCAAAATACTGAATTTATTTAGAGTTCATATGTTTCCGTAGAAAGATTGGGGTGGATTCTATAATAAGACTGATATGATTCAAATTGGAAGCAAGCGCCAAAGAAATCAAGATCTGACTGAGCTATTAACCACATAGCTGCAGTTCTTGAACTCCAGTTTCAGCTCTAATGTTACTTGCAGCTGGGCCAAAAAGTGAAAACACTTGTTTTATAAAAACATTTATTCATGTATGTATGTATGTATGTATGTATGTATGTAGGTATGTATGTATGGGCATCATGTACCACAGCATGCTTGTGGAGGTCAGAGGACAGCTTGCATGAGCTGGTTCTCTACTTCTACCATGTGGACCCTGGGGATCAAACTCTGTTTGCCAGGCTTGGCATCAGGCACCTTTGCTCATGAAGCATCTTTACAGCCTCAAATGTGCTTCTCTTTTGATAAATAAAAGGATGTAGCCTAGTTTCTTGGGAGAAGCAAAACTCTTGGCACTAAAAGAACTGTTTTATTTATTTATTTATTTATTTATTTTTTTATTTATTGTCTAATTCATCCAACACATATTTTAAAATTTCTACAAGGTGCCAAGCACTGAGAATATAAGGAGCTTTGAGGGTCATGTAATGCAGTTAGTGAGAGGTCACAAGGCAGGCAACAATTATTCAAGCCAACTGTCACATTGAGGGTGTTTGTCACCAATCATAAAGATAGAAGTGCTCTGGCTAAAAAATTGAAAAAGACATTTTCTTAATTTTTAGTAGTAATATATTCTCAAAACACCAGATCTTTCTACGAATATATTTCTTTTAGTCTCATCCTGTCTGTGAAATAGAAGCATTTACGCCCAAATGCTATTATTTTCAGATGTCAACTTCATGAAGCTGTTATAAAAACATAGAACCTGGGGCTGGAGAGATGGCTCAATGATTAAGAGCATTTACTGCTCTTGAAGAAGACCAGGTTTCAGTTCCTAGCATCCACATGGCAGCTCACAAACTCCAGCTCCAGGAGATCTGACACCCTCTTTTGGCCTCTGCAGGAGCCTATATACATGTGGTACACATAAATTCACACAGGCACACACATATAAAACAATAAAACCTTAAAACTCATTTATCTAAATATACAGGACTCATATAAAGATAAGCAATAGATATATTTCCAAAGATCTGAAAATCACTGAGTTAATGACGTACAACCTATCTTAGTCAAAGAGCAAAATATAATTTAAAAGTACTGTCATAGGACTAAGGAGATGACTCAGATGATAAAATACTTGCCAGGCAAGCATATGGGTCTGAGTTTGATGCCCACGCATATAAAAATTCAGGCACAGTGGTGCATACCTATAGTCTAATCACTGGGAGGTAGAAATAGGATTTCTGGGGCTTGCTCGTCAGCCAGCCTAGATGAATCAGTAAGCTACAGATTTAATGAGAGACCTGGTTTCAAAAGATAAGGTAGATAGTGATAGATAGAAAAAGACACCTGATGTTGACCTCTGGTTTCCACATGTATACACACATGTACACGTGCACCTATCACACAGAGACTCATACACACAAATGTTTAAAAATTTTTTTTCATGAGGAATTCTTACAGGCTTACAATGCTGAGATGATTCTCACAAGGAGCAATTTCCTGCCTGCTAAAGGGTTCTTGTTACTGGCTTATGCACTCTTCTCCTGGTGTAATCTGTAAATGTACAGTGGTCCCTCACTGCAAGGGAGGAAGGATTGGTTTCAGGACACCAGACACCAGAATTTTCAGATGCTCAATACTCATATATAAAACAGCATTGTATTTATATAAACCCTACATGCAGCTCATATGCTTTAAATCAACTCTAGATTATAATACCTATACAATGTAAACTCTATATAAAAAGCTTTAAAAACTGTATTGTTTAGGAGATAGTGACAAGAGAAAAGGTCTGTATATGTTCTGTACATTTTTTCCTAAATATTTTCAATCAGCAGTTGGTTGAAACCATGGATGCGGATCCCACAGATATGGAGGGCTGAGTGAGTTGTAAATGCTACCCCCTTTCCTGGTGGGAAGAGGGGAATGTACTTCTCTTTAGTGGCCTTTGTGAAATTTCAATAGCATCTATAATAACATGATATAGCATCTATAATAACACCTGTAATCGCAGAACTTGGAAGACAGAGGCAGGAAGACCAGGAATTCAAGATTACCCTTGATTACACAGAGTTTGGGGCCAACCTGGGCTACATGAGGCCTGTTTTAAAAACCTAAATTAACTAATTAATTAAAGCAATGCCTCATGTTTAATGATGATTAGACTAACAGAGGAAGATCTCAGTAGATGTGAGACAGAAGAGGAAGATGCAGAAAAAAAGCACCTGACATAGAGACCTGGTCCTATGACTAATCTTCACAAACCCTCTCTTTGTGACCTTAGGCCTCAGCCTAGAGTGCTCTTAAAGAAACTAAAACCAGTCCAGTCCCATTGAGCATAGGCTGAGAATCCAAGAAACCCCTGGCTTTAAAACACGTTTCTCCAGAACAAACATGAATACTTTACCAGACCAATGAGCTATGAGATAACCCTTGAGCTTTGCAAAGAGGAAATTGCTCCAATAGCTTCTCATGTCTGCAGGAAAGGAGGTGAGAATTTAAAATCAAAGTGGTGTCTATAATACATTCTTAGCTTGCTGTTAATGTAAATTTCAAAAGAATTTCCAGTGTAGAGCAAAGGGGGTGGCATTCTATTTCTTATAGACTTTATTATAATTCTTTTTGTTGATTTAATTAATTCACAGCAACATGAGAAGTACTCTAACTCAGTACCTCGGGCTGAACTTTTCTTAATCTGCAGGCTCCTCTGAAAGCAGCAATTGGGGATGCTATGGAAATATCCGTACTCTGTACACCCCAGGAGCATCTTGTGGGATCGGAAGACGCCATGGCCTGACCTACTGTGGTAACTGCAGTCTCTATGGGTGCTCTTCTCTCCCAACATATTCTCTTGACCCCCACTGTTTCTCATAGTTCTACACCAAGGAGTGGGGGGAGAGAGCATGCACCATGGAGTCCATAATCAGAGTCCTGGCTCTGCTTCCTGAACAAGTCACTAGCTCTCTTTTTTGAAGTTGGGCTAACAGTTTTCCCCGTCTTGGTGCAAACTCAATATCATTGTTGGGTGATAATGTTTCTTTTTCTTAAATTTTTTTTATTTATTTTTCTATGTGCATGACTGTATTGCCTGCATGTATTATAAATGTACCCACATTGTGCAATGCCTGCAGAGGTCAGAAGGGGGCGTTAGATCCCCTGGACTGGAGTTACAGATAGTTGTTAGCCACTGTGTGGGTGCTGGAAACTAAACCTGGGTCCTCTACAAGAGCAGACAGTGCTCTTAACCACTGAACCATCTTTCCAGTCCCCTGGGAAAGCTTTGGTAGGATTCTTAGGATGGGACCAGTGGAGCCCACGCTTATAGAATTATAGAATCTGGAACAGAACAGATCCTGAGAGCCTAGTTGAGAGCCAGCGGTATATAACCTAAGTAGATGAAGGAGGTCTTGATTCTGGTTGACAGAAAGAGTCCTAATCTCCAGTCAGGGAATGGCCACTAGGGATTTAAACTTGGGGTTTTCAGTCCTAGACCATTTCTTGGATCCTAGAAGTATACTTTTTCTTCCCCTTTAAGTTTCAGCCTAAGCCACACCCAGCTATATCTGTCTTTCTGTGTTTGTTCTAGGCGTTCGTGCCTCTGAAAGGCTGGCTGAAATAGACAGGCCATATCTTCTGAGATACCAACCCATGATGAGAACTGTTGGCCGGAAATACTGTGTGGATCCTGCAGTGATCGCTGGTGTCTTGTCCAGGGAGTCTCAAGGTGGTAATATTCTGGTCAACATGGGCAGCCCAGGCAATGGAGTCAAGGTGGTGCAGGTAATGCTCTATCAGTTAAGGTAGCTGGGGAGATAGTTTGGTAAAGTGCTTGCTGGGCAAGCATAAAGCCCTGAATTTGGATCCCCAGTGCCCATATAAAAAGCCAGGCATGGTGATGTGTACCTGTAATCCCAGTGTTGGGAAAGGGGAGACAGGTAAATCCTTGGAGCTTACTGGATGGCCAGTCAAGCAAGTCAGTGAGCTCCAGGTTCATTGAGAGGCCTGGTCTCAAAAGATAAGGTGGAGAGAAATTGAGGAAGACACTCTGGTCAACCCCTGGCTTACACACACACACACACACACACACACACACACACACATCCACACATGCCCAAGTACACAACCCACATGAACATGTACACACACACACACACACACACACATGCACACATACACACACACACACATGGCCCTTCTGCTTTATGGCACAACTCCAAGGGAACACCATCATTGTTTTGTTGCTGACAGCACAGCTCCATAGAACACAGAATGAATGGCGCTGCCAGAGAGACACAAGAAGCACCATGACCACTGCACTTGTAGCCACAATTTATTTCCAATGTAAACAATATTAAATACCCAGGACACCACCCAGGGTACGCTATTCCGAGTTACTATTAAGGTAACTGGCTCAGGAGAGAGATCACAGAGTGTATCTTTGTTAGGTGGTTTCCTAGCCTTGTGGCCTTAAATAGGTCATTTTACTTCACTGGGCCTGTTTTTCCACCTCTAAAATTCCATTTTGTTTTCAGCAGTGCTGCGGATTAAACCTGGGGCATTGTGCATGCTAAATAGATACTCTACCACTGATCTATACTTCCAGCTCCCAAACACTACTCCTGTAGAATGGAATGAAGACTCTTATTATGAAGAGTCAATGGAGGGGCTGGAGAGGTGGCTCAGTGGGTAGAAGCACTGGATGCTCTTGCAGAGGACTCAGGTTTGGTTCCCAGCACCCACATGGTGGCTAACAACCATCTATAACTCCAGTTCTAGGGACTCTGATGGCCTTTTCTAGCCTCCACAGGCATTGCACACATGTGGTACACTTATATATATGCAAGCAAACACTCATACACATAAAATAAAAATAAATAAAAATGCTAGAAGTAATTAATGAAATAATGTAAAGAAGTACCTGATAGGTTCTCAACAGTAAAATCCCTTCCCCCTTGTCTTATTATATTCACAATTTTAAACTTACTATAAAAACTAAAATTTAAAGTTTGTGTAGTATATTTACATTATTTTTATTTTTTAAATGATTTATTTATTCTTTGAGAATTTCATATTCTGTATTTTGATCATATTTGCATATCCACAATTTCTCCTAGGTCTACTCCCCTTCTCTACTCACTCACCCAACTTCATGTCCTCCTTTTTTTTTTAAACCTAGCAAGTCTAGTTTGTGCTATATCCTCTTGGGTGTGTGGCCATCCACTGGAGCATGGCTGACCTACCAGGGGCCAAAAGAAAACTGACTCTCTCTCTCCCAGCAGCTGTCAGTGGCCAACAGCTCCTCAGCTGGGGTGGGACATCATGCCCACCTCCCCTCTCCATGCTGGGATTTTATTAGGCTTGAGCTTGTGCAGGTCTTGTGCATGCTATCACAACACCTGTGAGTTCATGTGTGAACTTGCTCTGTTGTATCGAAGAACCAATGTTTCTTTATTGTCGCCCACTGCCTCTGACTCTTATAATCTTCCTCTTCTTCTGATCTTAACAATCTTTAAATTATCCTCTCATGACTACTTGAAATGAAACCACAATTTTAAAGTATCAGAGTTCATGGACAGCACAAATTGGACTCAGTAAGTTAAAATCACACACACACAAAAGGTCACAAAGTTGAGGGTAGGAAGAGGAGTGTGCCTAACAAGAGTTGGTGGGAAGGGTGAATATGATCAAAATACAGTGTGTGAAATTCTCAAAGAACTAATAAAAACGAGGGGAAAGGTATCTTATAACACTTTATCTCATTTTGATTTGGGGGTGCCTTCAATAATCTGATGAGTTGCAGGGGTGGGTTGTAGCAAGTCATCCCTGACAAGAGAGGAAATGGACTCAGAAGAGTCACTGTTGTAAAGTTACACTGTGGGGAAGGATGTCTTGTGAAAAATTTCTACTTCCCTGTTCTGTGTCTTTTGTGAAACCTATTTCTTGGGGAAAGGACAAGTCTATCTCCTTTGAGATGAAGTGAGAACCCCCTAAACTCAGACATTTCTCCTAAATCTGATGAAATTTTTGTGATAAGTGGTAACCTAAGGTATGCAAGTAGGCTTAGAATTACCTTCAGACATTCTGATCATCTACAAGGAGAATTAAAGTACAGACAGGACACCCTTCCTGGTCTCTTTGGGGTTATATTTGCAGCATCGAGGAAGGGTGTCACTCTGAATTCTACATGAGCCAACCATCTTGGCTTCCAAATTAATCTCTCGCTGTCACACTAAGGCAAATGTGAAATGACCGCTTATCGCTTCCTGAGCCTAAGCCCTGTAGCTTTATATTTTCTCCTTTTTTGTAGGAATATTTAAAATGAGAGCTGTCCTTTTAACAGATTTCTCCTAAAATACCATTGTGGATTACATAGTATTATTAATTGTAGAGATGATAATGTACATCAGATTTCTAGAAAAGTTTCACTGTAAAACTGAAAGTTTAGGCATGTTAATTGGCAGCTCCCCATCTCCCTCTCCCCTTCCCTGCTGGTCAACGCGCTTCTGTTCTTTACATCTATGAGTTGACAGTTTCATATCCTTCATGTAAGTGGAATCATGTGGTGTTTATCTTTCTGTGACTGGCTTATTTACTTAGCACAATGTCCCCAGGTTTCATCAATATCGTCCATATTGCACAGTTGTCTATCTTTTGAGTCTGAATAATATTACATGGTGTATATATACCATTTTTTCTCTGTCCATCCTTCAAAGACATTTAGGTCATCTCTGCCTCTTGGCTTAGAAATAAACACGGGAGCGTAAATATCTCTACAAGATCCTGAGCTCAGTTCTTTTGAATAAACACCCAGAAATGGGAAATGGGGTTGTGTGGTACTTCTAATTTTAATTTTTGGAGGGAAAACTTCTATATTGTTTTCCATGATGGCCACACCATTTTGCATTCCCATCAACAGTGTACAAGGATTCTAATTTCTCCACATCCTCACATTTCTCTTAAGTACTAACAAGAGTCATCCTGATAGATGTAAGTAGCTTCACTACTTAATCTTCTGAAGGTGGAAGGAGAAAAACACGAGGGAGATGAAAGATGCTGTGTCACTGCCCACCTGGCTCACTTGAGTGTTTCCTCTGCTTTCATCCCTCTAGGACTCAAACTTTTATTCTCCCACAACCTGGATGAGTGAACCCCAGGTTTCCCAGAAAACTGAGGTTCTGACTGCTAGAATCAAAGAAATCCAGACAAGGTTTCCAACTTGGACTCCTGACCAGTACCTGAGAGGTATGTACATCCCTCTTGGTCAGTTGTTTCACCACTGGGAATGAACAGGGACAAATATAATCCACTGCACCAGATTTCCCCAAGCCACAGTTGCCCACTGATAAACAGTTGGGAAAGGGAATCTGAATTTCTGATGAGTATTCTGAAGCAAGGAGGAGCTTCGGGGTGAGGATTAACTTATCATGTGAATTTCAGGTGGACTCTGTGCCTACAGTGGTGGTGCTGGCTTTGTCAGAAGCAGCCAGGACCTGAACTGTGACTTCTGCAACGATGTCCTTGCACGTGCCAAATACTTCAAGAACCATGGCTTCTAACTCCAGATGAAACCCAAGTTCATTATTATATATGAGGCCTCAACTGTTCCATCAATAAAGTTAGCCAATGAGGTCTACAGCTGCAAATATGAGTTGGATCAGGAGGTTGTCAAAATATGATGAATCACATTAAAGGAAGAGGTGTTACTGAATTGTGAATTGTGTCTTTTTAAAGATATTTCCCTAGGTATTAGTTCTAATGTGGATCTCTGTGAGATGAATTCTAAGGCCCGTTAACTACTATTGCCAGGTTCAGCAAATAAAAGTACAGGAACCCCAGTCTACAAGTTAATTCTACATAAGCAATGAATTTGGGGCAGTACTGGGACTCAAACCCAGCCTCATATGTGTCAAGCATAGGCCCCATCACTGAATTATGAATTATTTTAGTGTAAATCTCATGAAATATTTAGAACACAATTTACACTAAAGAATTATTTATTTTCTGAAATTCTGATTAACCTGATTTCTTGGATTTCATCTGGTAACTCTGTCATTAACTTCTTGGATAAAAATTTAATCGAAAACGTTTAGTGATTTTTAGGGTGAGATGTTGGTGACTGGTCTATTTGTGCTGGGTGAAATAATCTGGGGGAAAGTCACTTGCTAAAAGCTTTGCAATAGCATCTTAATCTCTGTTGTCTAAGCTTCTCTTCTCCTCTTCATCCTGAACCATGGAATCTTCTAACAGCAAGCTTCCATTTCTACCCAAAGTATCTGAATCTGGAACTCATCTGAACTTTTCCCTTTTTAGAGGATGTTATGTTTTCGATATAAAAAGTCTCCCAAAGGCTTGGTCCTCAACCAGCAGCATTATTGAGAGGAGCCTGGATCACGAGGGTACAGCCTCATCACTGGGTTCTTTTATTGATGAATTCATGGTTGAATGCGTTCTTAGGAGGTGGAGGAGGTAGGTCACTAGAGGAGTGTCTTTGAGGAGTATATAATTCTCTCTCTCTCTCTCTCTCTCTCTCTCTCTCTCTCTCTCTCCCTGTAATCATAAAGTAAGCAGCTTTTCTTTGCCATGCCTTTCCAGCATGTTTCTGCCTTGCCATAGGCCTAAACACAATGGAGTCAACCAACCACAAAACCCACTAAAATAATGAATCAAAATAAATCCTTCCTCTTTTGTGCTGTTAGGCATTTTGTCAAAGACAAAAACTAACACAAAAGGCACTTCAGGCACCGATACAACCAGACTATGGGAGGTGCCCTCAAGGACATTGACCATGTCCCATGTTATTAAATTAGCAAATTCAAATGTTTGTATTCTCTAACAGTAATTATTGTCCCATTCTGTCAACTGAACAATATCAGCATTTCAATGAGATTCCACAATTGTCATCATTTCAAACATGTCTGGTCTGCCTATAAATAGTGTTTTGAAGCAATTCCAACATGTTAAGTACTATATGAAACACCACACCAGAGTTTCTGCCTCCCTTTTTTTAGTTGAAGACAGCAGCCCACCCAAAAGAAAAGAGAGCCCACCATTCTTATGCACAAGGCACAGAGGCAAGGCCTGTACTGTGTGACAGTGTGAAATGCTCTTTTTTTTTCTGTGTTAGAGGCCATTTCATCCTCCTCATGGCCTTTGGTGCCCTTGACAGCCCTTCTTCCTACCTTCCTTCCTGGTGTCCCCACTCTCTGCCTTTGAAGTCCTATGCTCAAGGCTGAATCCAGTTAACAGATTCTCATCATGAACACAATAGAGGAGACCTCATGAATGCATCATGTCCTCTGGAGATGTACATTTCACCAGTGTAAGAATAATACAATGCCAAGCTCTGGCTATGAGCTCACAAGGTGTGGTGGTTTGAATGACAATGTCCCCCATAGGCTCCAAGTATTTGGACATTTTGTCCCCAGTTGCTGGTGCAGTTTTGAGGCATGTTTTGGGAGGTTTCAGGAGGTGTGGCCTTGCTGGAGAAAGTTCACTGAGGGTGAACTTTGAGAGTTCCTAAGCCTTGCCAGATTTCCTGTCTCCCTCTGTTTCATGTGCCTGCTTAAAGATGTGATAGCTCCTTTCTGCTCTAGCCACTTCTGCGGCCGTCCCTACTCACCGTGACACACTCTAACCCTTCTTGAACTGTAAGCTCAAATAAACTCTTCTTTCTATAAATTCCCTTGGTCATGGTGTTTTATCACAGCAACAGAAAAGTAACCAATGCAGAAATGAAACATTTGGGTGAATCAAGTTCTCTTGAAGTCATGTTAAGATGACCTCCTAGGGCTCCCTCCATGGCTGCATTTTCCCAGTAATGAGGCTAGCGCTGTACATGTAGGTGGCATTTCTTATCCCAAGAAATATCTAACCAAGGCAAACATACAAGAGGCATCATGCTGTCAGTGTGGGAGCTCTGGGGAAAGTGCAGTGGAATTAGGGATCATTCAAAGAAATAAAGTATCGATTATACAGTGATTGACAAACATTACTGAACGTTTTCTGCCTGCCAGTCATTCTATCAGGAACCATAAAACAGGGACAAAAAGACACTGTCCTTCCTCATAATTCGTATTTTCTTGATGGCTAAGAATGTTGAACATTTTTTCAAATGTTTATTGACTATTATTATTTTTCAATTGACTATTATTTGAATTTCTTTCCTTGAGAATTGTCTGCTCCACAGACATTAGCCCACTTATCAATTGAATGATTTGGGGGTTTTCTTTGTGATTAATTTTTGCAGCTCTTTATAGATTCTATATATTAATCCTCTGTTCGATGTATGGTTGGCAAAGGCTTTCTCTCATTCTGTATGCTGTTTCCTCATTCTGCTGATGGTTTTGCTGTAGAGAAGATTTTTGTTTCATGTAAGATCATTTGTCAATTCTTTTTTTCTTTTTTAAATACATGTGTATTTATTTTTTTTTCCTTTTTTTCCTTTTTTTTTTTTTTTTGGTCTATTTGAGACAGGGTCTCCCTGTAGTTGCACTGGCCTGGATTCGCTATGGAAACCAAGCTGGCCTCAAACTCACAGAGACCAGCCTGCCTCTGCTTTGGCCTCCTAAGTGTTGGGATTAAAGGCATGTGCCACGATGCCTGGCAGATACGTATTTCTTTAAAAAAATATGTATTTATTTGTGTTGAAAGGAGCACACGCCTGCTGCAGTGCATGTGTGGCGGTCAGAGGGCATAACTCAAGAGTTGGTTCTCTGTCCACTATGCAACTTCTGGGGACTGAACTCAGGTTGTCAAGTGCTGCTGGGGAGGAGAGAGAGAGAGAGCAAGAGCAAGAGCAAGAGCGAGCGAGCGAGAGAGAGAGAGAGAGAGAGAAAGATATACCCTTCAGACTGGAGAGATGGCTCAGCACTTAAGAACACACTGATCTTGCAGAGGACCAGGGTTCAGTTCCCAACACCCACATGGTAGCTAACAACTGTCTGTAACTCCAGTTCCAGGGGGATCTGATGCTGTATTCTCACCTCCCTGGGCATTGCACAACACAGGTGCACCTACCTACATGCAGGCAATACACTCATATACATAAAATAAAAATAATGAATATTTTTAAAAAGACATCAAAGACATTTCTCCAGTGACTTACCTCCTCTACCTCCTAATAGCCCATTCAACCATGAATTCATCAATAATATGTCATGTTTTGGTTATAAAAGTCTCCCAAGGTTGACTTCTCAGTTAGCAGTACTATTGAGAGGAGACTGGATCATGAGGGTAAAAGCTCAACACTGGGTTCTTTTATTTTCTTTATTATGCTACCACATCTGGCTTGGAAAGGTTCACTACTGCTAAGTAGAGCAGAGGGTAGTGAAGGCCCTAAGCTTAGGATGGGGGGTGTGGGAGGCAGGGGAAACCTGTCCAGCTGGCAGGGAGGCAGGCAGGTGAACAGTAACATAGAGGCTCCTGGACACTTAAGAAGTGGTGTTTACCTAAGCAGTGGTGATGCCCTGACTGGTGGGGAGGGTCAGCAGTTAAGAGCACTGGCTGTTCTTTCAGAAGACGTTAGGCATTTAAAAAGTATTTCTCGGCCATTTGCCTTTCATCTTTTGAGAACTCTGTTTAATTCCTTGCTCCAATTTTTCATTGGGTTATTTGTTTTGATGATTTGTTTTTAGAGTTCTTTGTATATTCTAGATATTAACCCTTGGTCAGATGTTTCTGTTTCTTTAGAGAACCCTGACTAATACAGATGTATAGTTGGTAAATACTTTTTTCCTTTCTGTTGGCTGTCTTTTCACTTAAATTATGGTTTCCCTTGCTCTACAGAAGCTTTTTAGTTTCATGAGATCTCATTTGTCAATTGTTGGTCTTAATACTTACACTACTGGGATCCTGTTCAGAATATCTTTTCCTGTGCCCATAAGTTACAGTGTAATCCCTCCTTTCTCTATCATATTCAGGATATCAGGTCTTATGTTGAGATCCTTGATCCATTTGGAGGTGAGTTTTGTGCAGGGGGAAAGATAGAGATCTAGTTTCATTCTTCTATGTGAAAATATTCAGTTTGACCACCATTATTTGTTGAAGATGCTGTCTTTTCTCCAATGTGTATTTTTGACCCCTTTGTTAGAACTCAGGTGACTGTAAGTGCATGGACTTAAATCTGTGTCCTCAATTCTATTCAATTGATCAATGTGTCTTTTTTTTTTGTCAGTACCATACTGTTTTTATTACTAAGCTCTGTAGCATAATTTGAAATCAGGGGTGGTGATGTCTCCAGCTCTTCTTTTATTGTTCAGGATTGTTTTGGCTGTCCTGAGTGTTTAGTGTTTCCATATGAAATTTGAAATTATTTTTTCAATTTCTGTGAAGAATGTTAAAATTCTGTTAGAATTTAATGGAGACTGTGTTAAATCTATAGATTGATGCTGGGCCTGGTGGTGCACACCTTTAATCCCAGCACTTGGGAGGCAGAGGCAGGTGGATCTCTGTGAGTTCGAGGCCAGCCTGGTCTACATAGTGAGTTCCAGGATAGCTGGGGCTATAGGGAGACCCTGTCTCAAAAAGACACAAAAAATCTATAGATTGCTTTTGGCAGGATGACCATTTTCACAATACTAACCCTACTGATCCATGAGCACTGGAGCATTCTATCTTCTTGTATCTTCTTCAGTTTCTTTCTTCAATGTCTTAAAGTTTTGATTATACAAGTCTTTCACTTCCTTGGTCAGATTTATTACAAGAT